CCTTCTCACACACCGGCAGGCTGAAGTAGCTCATCGGCAGCCGACGGTCCAGCTGCGGCGTGCTCCCCGCCTGGGGGTGTCCGCGGCCGCGGGTGCCGCTGCCCAGGTGGTAGGGCGGGCCGAGTCCCCGCCATCCGCCAGGCTTGTCTGCGTTGAAGATCTCGGGGTTGTTGCGTGAGGCGATGAGCTCGGCGACGGCCTGGCAGCCCTGCATCAGCTCCTCAGCGAAGATGCGGGGGTTGCAGCCCACCTCGCCCCACTCACCTGAATGAAGCAATGACAGAGAGAGATAGGGGGGAGGGGAGGCAAAAGGGAGATTGATAGCTGCCTGTATGTATCCATGGGTGGGAGAGGGCTCTTGTGTTGGTGGAGGCGTGCTTACCGACGCCGTCAGCGATGCCCATGGCGCCGTTGGCCCAGTCAGCGATGAAGCAAGCGTCCTCGCCACTGATGGATGGGATGGATCGATGGAGGGATGCACACACCAGACCAACGTACGCACAGGTGTCGTGAGTGATTGGTGTCTCTCGCTGCCGTCTCACTCACTCACCCCGAGTGCGCCTTGTCAGGTCTGGGAATCATCCACACGCCGCTGCACATCCGCAACCCGGTCTGCCGGCGGTGGAAGAACGACCGCAACGCCTGATCGCGCTCGCTCTCGCTCTCGCTCGTCGCCCCGCTGATGTCCTTCTCAGTCACCGTCCCAGCGCTCTGCCGCAGGAGTTCCTCGTTCTGCCCGTGCTTCTGCATCTCGCTCCAGCGGCGCTCGAGCGCCTCGAGATCTACGATGTCGACCAGGTCTTGCAGCAGCCACAGCACGCGGCAGCGGTCCTTCATGTCCTGGTTGGGCATCAGATGGTGCGTCACAGAGGTGGGCCAGTAGTCCACCGTCGGGCTGGACACTGATATCGACGACGTCAGCGGAGCCGACTCGGACGGCGGCAGGCTGGCCAGTGGGGGCAGAGAGCCCGGGATGGCCGGGAGGTCGGTGCCGCTGCGAGTGGGGATGCTCGAGCCCGGGCGGCTGCTCAGCACCGAGTTGACGCACGGGACGGGCTCGTCTTCCTCCCCTGAGTGGCTGCCGCCGGTCTTGGTCGACACGCAGGACGACGGCCTTCTCTCGCCGTTGGCCGTGCCCACGCTGGCGCTCTCACTGTGGTCCATGAGTGTCTCGGCGTCGGAGAAGGTGCTGCGCTGCTCGTCCATGTCCATCATCGACACGCTGCTCGTCCCGTCGCCAGACGAACTTCCGCTCTCCTTGCGCGTGCGGCCCTCCTGCTGCTGCTCGTCCGGGGGGCCCTCCTCACGCCCGTCGCTCCCTGTCTGCCCCTGCGCAGCCAGGATGGCCACTGCACTGCCATGCGGGCCTCTCCGCCAACGCGGCTGCCGCGGGGCTCCACACGGGGGCGCGGGTGCTGCAGCGCCCTCATGCATGCCAGTTGGCTGGGTGGGCCGAGCCCCAGGGACGGTCATGCCGGGTGCCGTCATGCGTCTGAGGTGGCCGAATGGCGACATACGTGGGGGTGAGGGTGGTTCGGGGCCTGGGTATGGTGGAGGGGGTGGGGGGCTCTCGTCCTCGGGCAGAGAGGGGAGGGCGCGGGCGGGGCGAGGGACGGGCTGACGGGCCTGGTCGAGACGCTCCGTCATGCTGCACAGAGGAGGACAAGGCACATCATGACACAGGTCGAGCTAGAGGGCTCTTGTGGTCCTCATCTGGTCTGGTCGCGTAGGGTACCTGAGTGTGTCGGCAGTGTGTCTCTTGTGTCCATCCCTGACGACCGGCACGAACGCCATCCCACCACCAGCCACCTTGCCATACGCCACAACACCGCTGCTGCCACCGTTCTGCGGCTGCGCCTCAGCAGGGGGAAACACGGGAGGCCTCACCCTGCCGCCCCACATGTGACCCTCTGCCTCCAGTGGCGAAGCCGGCGAGGTCGGGCTGGGGCTCGGGCTGCTCGACGATGGCGTCGACGTGACTACCGGCGGTGGCGGGGGCACCGGCACACTCCGCCCTTTGTCCTTGAGGATACTGCTGAGCCCGCCTCGGGTCGCCTTGACGGTGCTGGTGCGCCCGCCGCGCCGCTGGAAGGCAGGGGTCGACATGGACTGAGTGGGCGGTCCGGGCAGAACCGGCTCCAC